TAAAATATAAAATTGTTTTTTTTTGAGCATTAATTTTACCAAAACGCTCTTGTGACTAGGACAAGTTACAAAATTTAAATTCATGTGCATTGTAACTAGGACTTCTAAATAGTCATAAATTTTCTTTGTACTACATTTAGTTTTAAAAACATCTGTCACTATACTCTCCACTATGAAAAAATACGCGAACGCCTCATGACTTGGGCAACAAAGCCAAGTTTTTGATTCATCATACTCTTTTATTTTGATGTTTTGATGAAAATATTGCATCTGCTCTGATTCCAAATCTTGTTTGCAGGTTTGACAATCCTTATACACTTTGTATTTTAAAAGATGTATTAACAGTTAGAGAAGTATTAAGATTCAAAATTAAATTATTTACATCAGCATCCCTTATACACAAGTGTTCATCACCTATTTCAAAGTTAATTGGGTCTGGTTGGGATACGTTTTCAGTTAATAATTTTTTTTAGAGAATGTAATAGTTCTGCATTATCTTTTTCACAATTAGCTCCAACTGCATTGTGTGACGTTATGTTGCAAATTAACAAAGCTTTGTAAGAATTTATAAAAGCACAAGCACAATGTTGCGCAGACCATGTGCTCTGATTGCCCCAAAAAAGAGAATGCAAGTATTTAGTTAGAGTAACAAAAGCTTGGATACTTTTTACCCAACTCGTTATAGACGGCACAGTTACTCTGTTACCACTTTTTGAGATGAATTTCATCGACTTTAACACAGATTAACTTTTATACCATAAACTGATGTGGGGATCGCGGAGTTACTGCACTTCTATAAATTTTTCCACTTGCAGGTTTGTGGTAATTCTCATTACCGCTATCGAATAAACGATCAAAAACTAGGAGATCTGCTGTGTCCGCACTGCCTTCTGGTAGTCTCCTTGTCTCTGAAAAGAATAAAAATATGTTGTTTATATTAGCGAGCTTTATCGTTATTTCTAAAATAACTTGTATGTAAGGGGTGTGATCACTATTTAATTATGTAAAATATTCACTTCCGTTGTATTGACTCACTTGGCGTAGGGTTGGTTATCTTGTATTCGCGTATTGTTAGATAGAAATAATGGATCATGTGTATTTCAATCAATAACATAGATAATAAAAAGAGAATAATTGTTATAAAACCATTCAGTAGTAACAACGAGAACTTGCTGAAAAAAAAAAAAAACAAACCTGCCATATATTTCATTATTCGGCCAACACTTTCACGAAAGACTTGCGTACAGTGTTTAACCCTCATTTTCGGTATGACTTTAGGAATTACATGCTGAGATGTTAATTTGTTCAACAGCTTTACACCTTTGTATCCTGGTCTACGATTGTATAGTGATTCTACATGCGACCAGGAGGCTAATTTACTTCTTCCGTCTTCCTTAAATTCAAAATTGTATGTTCAAAGATTATTTCTTATACCCTTCATAAGATGAGGTGGATCATACACAGGATATAACCACCAGTATAATTTTTGCCACATTTCAAATATTTTTCTTTCGTTTCATTCATTAAAATGTTTAAAGCTAGATGATTGGATGTGCCTTGGTCACAGACAGTTGCAACCACTGTGAACCCACAATCATATAACTTTTTAATAATAATTTTCAATTGTTTGCTCAAATCTTTTGAGTAAGTGCTTCCTTTAGAAAAAGAAAATTGGCAATTGGCTGCTTAAATTTTTTTTGTATACCACGTATCATGAACACACACACGATCACTGTAGGTTCTCAACCTTTCTTCACCATTATCCACAAGTCCGTGGATAATATCATTTGTTTTATCATAAGTTAAATCAGGTGGTATCGCCATTTCATCAAAAATTAAGCAACAATACTTATGATGGTCAGACATTTTCTCCACTTTTTTATTTAAATGTTGAAATAGTATTTCATTACCCCTGATTGCAGATTTATTTTAGAAAGTAGTTTTTCTAATATCCTTCTCTTGGGTAGTACACACATTTGACCCAGTAATCGATACGCTTTAGGGCACAGTTTGTATAAAGATAAACATAGAATCTTCTCATCCAAAGTGAAATGCCTCCCTTCAGGTTTTTTTGAAAATTGTTTAATTTGCATTGAGAAAAGTGTCCGAGCAGCCGACGTCATTTTTTGTTTGAGTGTGTTGTATGTAACAGATTTCATCAATTTCCAGCCATCACCACTTGCATTTTTAGTTTTTCATTTGTATGGCGAGTTTTACGCAATTTTAATTTTGTCTCCAACACATTGTCTTTTGATTGCCTTTCTGAAACAGTCAAAGGCTTGGAAACCTTCGGCGATCTGAAAAAAGAAACACAAAATTATACAATGTCTTACTATTAAGATATTATAACTTGACATTTTATCCTTACTTCACTTATTTTAGTCTAAAAATAATTATAATTCATTAGCTGACATACGAGGTATGTCTGTATAACGCACACACTCAACATACACACTCAACATAGCCCCGCACTAGGGAAACCCTGTGTCGCGGGTACCATGGAGACACACATAGACAACCACAAACTACACCCAAACTCACGAGAGAAATAATTGTAGGCCATACAACTATTTCTCCCGGCCCGGGAATCGAACCTGGGACCTCTGCGTGGCAGTCCGGCAGTCATGGTAACCGTTCGGCCACGGAGGCAGTTATCCATTATAGTATCCATTATAGTGTTTCCATTTCAACTGATGTAGAAGGAATGGCTTGATCCATTTGAACTGGTCTATTGGTGATGGTTGTGTTCATATGAGCCGAAGACGAAGGATGTTGAACACTTGCTGATGTAGGCACATTCTTCAGTACTTCGGCGATTGAATCAATATGCCTGCGTCTACCAACATGCACACCTGGAATATATATGAACAACCCTGTAATTTTGAAAACTTTCTAAAAAGCCAAATAGTTGTGTTATTTACAGACATGTATCATTCAAGCAAAAGACGTAATGTTATCATTCCATTTGACAAAATAGGTCAGACATGTAGGCAACGTATATTTGAAAATGTTCATTAATGTCTAGGAAGTTGAAAAGTATGATCATGGCTCGTGGCAGCCTGTAGTTCCTGCCTACCCTCATTGGAAACAGGTGTATTGAATGTCAACACCTAACATTTTACACAATTTATCCTTATAAAATAACTTTTCTAGTAAGTTCAAACAACCAAGCATCCTCCCAGACGACTTCTACCCGGGCTCCTGCTTTTTGCAGAGTTACTTTGTTACTGTTTAGACCGATCTATTTCAAAATTTTTATTTTTGTATGAATGTAAAGTGTGATGAATTATAAAGTTGTGGAACCAAAGTTGTTAGCAATATAGTCCTGCGAGGTTGTTAGTATTTTACAATATTTGTGTTTGTTTGTTGTTGTTAATGGCTTGCACCACAATTTGTAAGTACTCACCTCCTATTTATTAAGTAATCTGGCCTACAGGTTTCTTTACCAAGTCTTTCTCTACCATTACTCATACAAATGACGGATACTAAACATTTAAAAGGTTCCTGAAGATTGTTTACATTTAATTAAATATCTTAAACCAGCAGCGATCATGATTTGTTGACATTAAAGTATTTTTCTCATCTTTCAGGTAAACAGCAGTGACCATGTTCGCTTGTAGAATTTCCAGTGATGATATAACAATACATAAGCTATTTATTGATATCACCTTCAACTTTTCACATCTTGGCCCAATATTGTATGAAAGCGTATCGATCTCCTTCTAGATTACCAAGTAAAAAAATCAAAATATTGTAATATTGTATTTAATCAAGCATTGATTAACAAATTATGTAATTTCAGTTTTAATTGTCTACGGTTTATTTCGATTACACCATCTAGTAAGTTATTAAATAATTTGGGTGCTAATAGAAACATCGTTCTACTGCAATATTCCAAATTAGATGCATTGACATTGCATTACGCGTAATATTACTATCACATGAGATGTCTCATAAACAAACATCACTCGTATTACTTAGACTATAAACATCACTCCGTAATATCACCATCACTCATTACACTAGCATCACGCATCATAAACATCACTCTGTAATATTAGCATCACCGTACCGTTTCAGGTAATCACGCGGGTAATGTTTCGGGTAATGCATCACGCTGCGTACTCTTTCACGTAATGTGTGTTAGTAGCGACACCTGGCAGCAGCGCTACGTAACACTACGGCATGGTTAGCAATGTCCCATCAAGTAGTACGTCGAAAATTTGCTGGGTGGCGCTATTAATATAGACATTTACTATAGTTAGTTCATACCATAGACAACTATATACATAACGTTCAGACTGGGAATAAACGCCCAGAGCGCCCCGACATGGTCTATGTAATGAGTAATGCATATTTTTCCAAAGTGATGCGTGATATCACAGTAACCTGTAGCATGATATCACCTTTCTAATATTCTTACATTACTTATACATGTTTAGTTCATAACCTACAAATCCTGTTTCATATCATAAGTTTTCGAATATTTCAATAATTTTTATTGTCAAAACTACGAGTTTCGTAAAGTTAATATTTTACAATTAGACTAGTAACTATGTAGTCTATTCACCGTATTAATTTCAACTTTCAACTCGTGCTTTGGTAATCTACAAAATCATTATTTTTCCAATAATTTTAATAATATATCTGCAAAACTGCGAGTTTCTGTAAGTTGATATATAAGGAAATTAATATTTATTTTCTATAATATTAAGGGAGTTAATATTATAGAAAATTCACTATATTAGTTACAACTCTCGAGTGTTGGTAATGTTCAGTTAAGCCGTGATTATACCTGTATATTATAATAGCAATTAGCAAGGATTTCGTTGCACTTTGGCAGATTTAACATCCATGTTAAAGCCTTTCTTGTCAGCCAACCTGTCTAGTACTCAATACTGGCTTAAAATCTGTTAAATGATAAGATATATCATTAATTTATACATTATTCTTTGTTTCAGATTAAAACTGAACAATAAATAACCTTCAGAACTCACCGTGAGAAGTGACTATACCTTTATGCCCATTACAACCCATACAATTAAATTGTATGTGACAGCTAACAATATCCCATATGGATGTACAAGATATTATGAACGTTAAAAAGGAGACAAGCGAATTAGAAAACAGCACAATGGGTTTACATGTAAATGTCAACATTAAACAAGAGCCAGTTAGTGTTTCTGAAGAACATACCCCAGAAACGATGAAGCTGTATGCAGATCATGAAATCAAGGAAGAAATTGTCATAGGTCCGGTGATGTTACAGCTTCCAACTGTAAATGATTCAAGATGTGCGCAGAGCACATCTGATAATCTGAATATTCATACTCAACCTAACAAATGTAATATTTGCAATTTAGATTTTATGAGCAGCCATGTATACATGTGTCGTAAAGTAACTTGTACTGGAGAGAAACCATTTAAGTGTGAACACTGTAACAAAACCCAAAAATCAAATCTTAAAGTACATTTTATAACCCATACTACAGAGAACCCCTACAAATGTGAACATTGTAACAAATGTTTTACCCGAAAATCAAGTCTTAATAGACATTTATTGATCCATACAGGAGAGAAACCATACAAATGTGAATATTGTAACAAATCTTTTACCCAAAAACAAGTTCTTAAGACACATTTAATGATCCATACAGGAGAGAAACCATACAAATGTGAACATTGTAACAAATGTTTTACCCGAAAACCATACCTTATTAAACATTTAATGATCCATGCCGAAGAGAAACCATACCAGTGTGAACATTGTAACAAATCTTTTACCCAAAAACAAGTTCTTAAGACACATTTACTGATCCATACAGCAGAGAAACCATACAAATGTGAACATTGTAACAATTGTTTTACCCGAAAACCATATCTTATTAAACATTTAATGATCCATGCAAAAGAGAAACCATACCAGTGTGAACATTGTGACAAATGTTTTACCCGAAAACCATATCTTATTAAACATTTATTGATCCATGCAGAAAAGAAACCATACCAGTGTGAACATTGTAACAAATCTTTTACCCAAAAATCTGATCTTAACAGTCATTTAATTATCCATACAGGAGAGAAACCATACAAATGTGAACATTGTAACAAATGTTTTACCCAAAAACAAGTTCTCAAGACACATTTAATGACCCATACAGAAGAGAAACCATACCAGTGTGAACATTGTAACAAATGTTTTACCCGGAAATCAGATCTTAAGAGACATTTAATAATCCATATAGGATGGAAACCATACAAATGTGAACATTGTAACAAATGTTTTACCCAGAAACAAGTTCTTAAGACACATATAATGATACATACAGAAGAGAAACCATACCAGTGTGAACATTGTAACAAACCTTTTAACCGGAAATCAGATCTTAAGAGACATTTAATAATACATACAGGATGGAAACCATACAAATGTGAACATTGTAACAAATGTTTTACACGAAAATCACATCTTAACAAACATTTAATGACCCATACAGGAGAGAAACCATACAAATGTGAACATTGTTACAAATGTTTTACCCAAAAATCAAGTCTTAAGAGACATTTAATAAGCTGTATAGGAGGGAAACCATACCAGTGTGAACATTGTAACAAATCTTTTTTCCGAAAATCAAATCTTAAGAGACATTTAATAAGCTGTACAGGAGGGAAACCATATAAATATGAACATTGTAACAAATCTTTTTTCCGAAAATTAGATTTTAAAAAACATTTAATAAACCATACTGGAAAGAAACCATAGAAATATGAACAATGTAAAAAATCTTTTTTCCGAAAATCAGACCTTTAACCCGAAAATAAAATCTTAACAGAGATTTAATGATCCAAACAGGAGAGAAACCATACAAATGTGAACATTGTAACAAATATTTTTTTCCGAATTTTTATTACAGAATGCGAATCTGGCCAGTATTTCAACACCCACGCATAATCAGAACTCTCAAAAAAAATTTGTTTAAAAGAGCACTATAAATCCTTAAGTGTAACATTATAAGTGGCAGAAAACATTTATAAAAAAAACATTAATTTTACCATCAATACTACAATAATTATAATTATTAATACAAAGATCGAACACTCAGAAAAAATTCCTTCGATCCGGCCGAATTCGAACCGACGTCTTCTAGTTTAGCGTGTCAGATTAATTTCATTGTCAGACACGTTTTCTGGAATGAAATGGTATTTTGTATCTATATGTTTTGTTGTGCCACGATGAACAGAATTATAAGCTAAGTTCTGGGCACTCCGACTGTCGCTATATAAAATTACACTAGGACATTGGGTGCTACATACCTCTGAAATAAAGCGACGTAGATACACAGCTTCCTTAGATGCATCAGTGAGCGCCATGTACTCTGCTTCCGTCGAAGACAACGCCACCTTAGGTTGCTTCCGTGATTCCCATGATATCGGACCATTTACCAATTTGAAGCAGTACCCAGTATATGACCGACGACCACTGGCGCAATTAGCCCAGTCGGCATCCGTGTACACTTCCAGGGATTTGCCAGTTTTTCTGTAGATTATTGAGTAGTCTACAATACCTACGCTTCAGGTATTGAAGCTCTCGTTTCGCTGCCGTCCAATGACTTTTGCCATATTTATTATTAAACTGGTTCAAGTAGCTCGCGGCAAACGCGATATCTGGCCGTGTATGTACTGCAAGATGCATGAGGCATCCTATCAAATTCATAAAAGAATAGCTTGAGTTTTTACCTTCTGTCAGAGAACGGACACTCTCCGCCCCTCTCTAGCTTTAGATACCGCACCACGCCCCGCACATTGCCGGTTACATTGACTGAACGACAACAAGGCTGCCGGCGAGCCGTTTTCGTGCGAAGACGGCTTAGATATTTGATTAAAGTTTTCATTTATTCATTACGAAACTTGTACGTTAATATAAAACATCATTTTACATTTTACATTATACGTTACCTACTATTTATAATGGTCGTGAATTGTGCTGTGTACGGCTGTTTATAATCATTTTCCGAAAGATGAAACGAAGTAAGTAAAAAAAACTTATGTCTGAGGGTCGTATTCTAGAACTCTACTCAATGCTCAAGTCAGGATTTGAGTATGGTTTAAAGCACTCGAAATCATACTCAAGTCCCTGCCATTAGGGTCGTATTTCCAGTGCTTGTGTTTCCAGTGCAATCACTCGTATAATATTGTAATCAATATAGTATTGTAGATTTAAAATAATCATCGATCATCAATATTTTACCTAATATGGCCCCACTCATAGACATCGTTTTGACTTCCAAACTTATTTTAACGATAAGACGAGTTACTTGAATTGCTAAACGGTACAATAGACCTAACGACGACGTAGACGACTGAGTGCGGCTGCTAACTAGGGTTGTAAACATAATTATATAGTTATACTCTTTTTAACATAATTACCTAGATACGTACAATCATTGGTAGGTAATTTTAATTTCAATCTTTATGATTGACCACTACTTTAGGAACTTTGACAATAAAAAATATTAATCAAATTAAGAGAAACAAAACAATATTAATCTGACATAGAATCATTGTCATCGTTGGACTTTCCAATAAATTTAAGAAATTCATTCTCATGTCCCAATGCTTTATTGTAATCTCCTACAAAGGATTGATTTGCCCAGGAACGTCTAATAATACTGCGAATGCTCGTAGTTTGTGATGTCGAAGCTATATCTTCCGTAGGTAATTGTAATATCGTTGAGAATTCGTATTTTTTTTATTTTCGGGCACTATATTTACATTATTTATTGCAGATTCAGTCGGAGTTTGTACATTTAAAAAAAACGTAAATGTTTATCATGTACGCAAGCGAAATTTAAGCATTTAAAGCAGCTTTGTTTTTTGAATTCCAAATAAATAGAGTCAGTCGACCACACAACCCAAAAAATAAATATATGAATTAAAACGTTTGAAAATCAAATCAAGTAGGTAGCATTAAACATAAAATAATTGATAAAAAAATCACCTGATGAACTCCCATAGTGCCTTTTAAAATAGCAATATCTTTGGGTAGCATCAAATCTTTTATTTTAATTTCGACATTTTCAACGTGTTTTCGGATAATGTCTATAAATGCATCAAAAGTTCCAACATCGTGCTGACACTTAACTTGATAATCAGCAGTTCTCTTTATTACTGCTCCAATCCCATCGTGGACACTCACTCCCGAATGGTAATGTCTTAAATAGGCCTGAAGAACTCGACTCACCGTCACCTAATGATAACGTGGCTGAACTACTCACTGCTACTTTGGTAAACATCCTAGAAAAATTGTCAGACATTATTCCTCTTTATGTTTTGACCCTGCTCAATCAGTGGATAACCATGTTTAAAAATAAACCTTATAATGGGCCCCAGTTTCCTCCAATGGAATTGTAGAAACATCAAAAATAAACGGAGACGGTGAGCATCGCGCCTGCTGCTGGTTCACAAAGAACTCGTCCACGCCGTGGAACGCCGACCATCCCAGCAACTAATGAGAAATGCCGTCGTTTGATTTCTGATGAGTGTACGCCTGCTACTGCCTCTTTACCTATTGACGTTACTGCAACGCTGCAATGCTTTAGTGCGCGGCCTGAACCGGTAGCCACTCCACTGCGGGCCTCATGCCCTTCGGGAATCCGTGCGGCTGCCCCTCGTGTCGTCAGCCTGCATATCTTTAACCTCAGTGTGGATACCAGTGCTGAGGACGTCGTGCATCATGTGCGCACTCAGATGGGCATCCCTATGCCTGTGTCTGAGCAGCTGGTCGTCACCCGAGGCAGCTACTCGTCGTTTCGTCTGGATGTACCTGCAGACAAACTGAGGACTGCCAGAAATATTAAAAACTGGCCTGAGGGGTATCAGTGCGTCCGTTTAAAGTTGTGCAGCCAAAAAACTTATCCACGAAACGTGTCACAACACGTTTAAAGTAGGCACTAAATTTGTAATTATTCACCAAAATGTACGGTCTATGTGTGGCAAAACTTCACTGTTAAATTTATTATGTAGCGCTGAAAAACCAGACGTACATGGTTTGAGTGAAACATGGTGCAAGAAAAGTGAGATTGAACGGGTGAGGTTGTGTGGGTATACACTGGCAGATTGTTACTGTCGCACACAAATCGCTCATGGCGGGGTGGCGCTGTTTGTACGTGACGGTATTACATATAAACGGCGAAATGACCTGCGGGACCACTCCGTTCAGTATCACTTTGAATGTACAGCTATTGAGATTACCTGTTGTAAATTGATTATAATTTCGCTATACACGACTGGAAAGGGCATTTGTTTAGAAATATTGGAATTATTATTGAATAAGCTCATTGACGAAAAATTTTGATCACCAACTAGGTTTCTTCTAGTTGGTGATCAAAATGTGGATTATTTATCTGACAATAGTTTGAGACGGCGGGTCGACGACGAACTAAGTAGTTATGGGTGCTTTAATATAGTTTCCCTTCCCACTCGTGGGACTGCTGACTGCGCGTCGTCCATCGATTGCGGTACCTATGACAAACCACGCTCGTGAATGCCTTACCGTATCACCGGTGGATACTGCTATTAGCGACCACAACGCACAGCGATATGAATTTGCAATTAAACACAGAGGAAAGGAAAACAAAACAAATCAGCAGCTGATCGAACGTCGTTGTTTTACAAACGAATCTATTTATTTTATTGTGACATTTGTAACTATGATTTTAATTTTATTTATGACAACACTATAGATATTAACAGTAAATTTGATAAATTATTTAATATTTTGACATATTACATTGACATACATTTTAAGGTTAAAACATTTAAATTTCGGAATAATGTGACAACTACCATGGGTAAATGACGAGTCATTGGAATATACACGTAAACACAGGGATTTACATGAGATCAGGCGTCAGTATCCAAACAACCCAGTAATATCAGAGTGTATCATGACATATTATAATCTTATTAAATCTGAGACGTTACGTGCCCGGCAAACCTACATTGAAAAGAGGTTGGTAGAAAGCAAAAATCCATCCAAGGAAATATGGAATGTAGTCAATGACGAAACAGGCATAAAAACCAGATCATCAAACATCAGCCTCAAAGATTTATCCTCACAAATTGATATACAGATTAATATGGTTCCAGACACATTTAATTCACACTTTCTATGTGTAGCTTCCAAATATATAATTGATATATGAGTGTATATATATGAGTGATCTGTCTATGTGTAGGCAATACATCTGCAAGCATCTGCACAATACAGATGTGCCAACTTTCTCTCCACCGACCATCACACGGGGCCTTATAGATAAAGTGGTACAGTCGATGTTAAAGACCCGTTCAACTGTCGACAAATATGACCTATCACTAAATATTTTCATTTATCATTTTCTTGCCATATTTGACATTATTTTACCATAATATATGATTGCTTATTACGCTTCAACATATCTGATATATTATATATATATATATTGTTAAACATATGGCCATTTATCTCAGACATTTTAGTAGTCTTATTTAATATTATCTTTGACACCGGTGTGTACCCGGATGTGCTTAAGAGTACCAGGGTGTGTCCTGTCTGCAAGGGGAAGGGTGGCAAGTGTGATGTGAACAATTACAGACCAATAACGATTGTTCCTACTATATCTAAAATTCTGGAATCTATCCTATTTTCCCACAAAATGGGCCACCTTGAGGACAATGAATTGCTGACAGATAAGCAATTTGCATATCGGCAGAAGGTGTCTACAATTACCGCGGCACATAAAATATTTGACTGCTTAGTTTCCGGTCTGGATGAGAAGTATAAAATGGCGGGCATATTTTGTGACTTGTCCAAGGCCTTTGATGTGATTAATCATGAACTGTTGTTGGATAAGTTATATCATTATGGAATACATGGTAAGAGCTACAAACTTCCCACCTCGTTCTTATCGGATCGGAAGCAAGTGGTAAAATTATCCTCGAACGGTAAATGGAGTCCGTTGCTGGCAGTGTGAACTTAGGAATTCCTCAAGGGTCTGCCTTAGAAAACACGCTATTTCTATTATACATAAATGACCTTCCCACTGCCATCCGTGCCGGCCTCTCCGTACTGTTTGCGGATGACACAACAGTTATAGTTAGCGCGCGCACGTACGAACAGCTGGGACAGAGAATCGATGAAGGGTGTGAGCAGCTCCAGAGGTGGTTTTCATGGAATGGGTTGCTGCTGAATATCACTAAATCCAACATCATGGTTTTCTCGGGTCGAGGTCTCACAGTTCCTCCGTGTGTAGCAAGCAATCCGATGCTGATATCCAATGAGATTAGGTTCCTTGGCTTCACTCTGGACTCGAACCTTAACTGGAAGTGCCATGTTGATAGACTGAGTGGTGCAGTCTTTGCGTTGCGTAAACTGAAATTGCTCATTTCTGATTCTGCATTAAGACAGGTCTATTTTGCATATTTCCACTCGCTGATGTCGTACGTTTCACTCATATGGGGTAACTCCACGGATGCCAATAGAGTCATGCTAATGCAAAAACGTGCCGTACGCGTATTGGTTGGGATAAAACACAGACATTCCTGCAGAAATCTCTTTGTAGCGCAACGCATAATGACGCACTAGTCACTCTACTTATAGGAAATTATAACGTATGTTAGAAATAATCTGTCTTCATTTGGTACTGTAAATGTTTCTGGCATCCCACTTCGCCGTACCGGCCATTTGAGAACAGTCCCTCGACGCATGGCACTTGCAGAGAAAAACCCGCGTGTCATCGGACCTACTTACTATGAGCGTTTACCCGCTACTCTCAGACTTGAACCGTCTGACGAAATATTTGGGCGCCGGCTGAAAGACCTTTTCTTGAAAAATCCTGTATACTCTGTAAAGAATTTATATTTATGGCCTTTAAATTATAACGAATTCAATATT